AAACACAAAACAAAACAAAAACCCAGAGAAGATACTCTTTAAGCTCAACTCTATTAATTAAACACTGAGTTATGGCAGGCAATGTACTCCTGGAAGGAAATAAAACGCTGTTGTTTTAACACTCTATCCTCACGAACTGACCAGCCAGAATGCATGCAGGCCACCCAGGAAAATTTTCAATAGCACACAGCCAATTTTTAAGGTAAATGAAGGTAAATACCCCATGAAAGATTTGAGACCTTCTAAAAACATTATTCATTCTTTTCCATGTTTACTGGATGTCTCTTATTTTTATTTGCAAAATCTGACAACTCTACTACTAAAGCTTCAAGTTTACAAAAAAAAAGTAAAGATGTAGTCAAAGCTGGCACAGGAAGAAGACAGAAATCTTACTAAATTGAGTTGCTAGTTCCGTGGACCTGAGTGAACCAGAGAATCTGTACTTTTTACACAGACCCAGATAAGAGGAGAGCCACTTGTCTGAAAGCTACACTTTGCTTAGCCAGGACTTGGAGTTTAACTGGGAGTTAAGAGTTTAATAATTAGAAAGTGAGAAATTATTGAACGCATTTGAACAGTGACATGACATGAACAGAAATGTCTTCAGCAGTATCAGTCTGAGAGCTGCATGGGAATGACAGTCAATGTTATTTCCTGTCAAGAGTTCTAATAGCTGTTTGGGTCCAAGCACACTATTCATTAAGTGAATTACTAAAGTGTTCGTTTGCAGAGAGCAGGGAGAGGAAGTAAGCCGACCTGTTCGGGAAACAGCAGGTATCCCGTTGAAGAGAAACCTGTGCGCGCCATGAAAGGGAATGAAGTACCATGTCTGGCCAAGGACCGTAAGAGCTACAAATCAATACCATTTCCTCTTTTATAGTTTCTCCGTTCGTGCCTCGCTTATCACTCCCTGCAACTGCGCGTGCTTAAGTACTACTGTCCCTCCAGACCAAGGTGCCAATCATTTATCCAGGGTTGCATAGCTCAGACATGACTGAAATCTAGACATTTTATTCAACATCGCAAATTATTTCCGCTGTAAGATCCTTTGCCCTAATGCCTCGACGCTGCCCACAGAATAAAACTTAATGGAGGTGTTCTCTCCAGAGACCCAGTTCAGAGCATCTGCCTCAACAACAGCATCTCTGGGATTCAGGAGTTTCCTTCTTGCGTTGTTCTTGTTTACTTGGCGTGCTGGGTCTCACGCAGCGAGTACGCAGTAAATTTTGCTTAGTTAACTTCCTATCAGCCCTCCTCCTTAGAAGCCTCACCCAATTCTTATAATGTTTTGCAATAATTTGAATATGCAATAATCAGAGTATATTTGTAGTTGTGGCTTTGGTGACATTTTTACATATGGTTCCCTCAGTAATTCAAAGAGCAATCAATTACATAAAATGTTGGATAGTCCCTATGGTAATCTAATACTGCCTCTTGATACAGCTAAAGGGAACTACAGAATTCAGGTAGCCTGTATCTAGGGGACATTTCAGTAGGTATAAATACGAGCTGATTGTAGGACTGCAAGGATGAATGTGCTAGGATCCTTGCCTCTGTTGCTTGGTAAGGAAGACACAAGCAAACATTCCTTACACAGTTCTACCCACAGGAGAATTTCTGCTCCCTTGCTTTCTTCTTAAAATAAATTTTATTTCTTCTTTGAGAATATTGGGACGATATATTTTCATCTCATTCATTCCCCTCCCCCATCTCCTCCCAGATCCTCCCCTTCCAGAAATTTCCTATCTAGTTTCCAAACTCACATCTCTTACTTGTTAGTGGTTTACACCATGACTTTCCCAAACTTCCCTAGACCTCACTTTTAAATCTACTTTAATGTATATATATATACATTATATATGTATATATATAATATAATATATATATATATTAGGTGCATTAGTGTTTTGCCTGCATGTTTGTGTGTGAGGATGATTCCAGATCCCCTAAAACTGGGGTTACAGACTATTGTGAGCTGCCATGTGGGTGCTGGAAATTGAACCTGGGTCCTCTGAAAGAGCAGCCAATGCTCTTAACTACTGAGCTGTCTCTCCAATAGTACATTTTCTGAAGTGACTTATTTGCTTTTTCATCTAATTTCCTGTAGATATGCCCAAAGTCTATAGCTGTATTTTAAGTTTATCATGAAGGTTGATGAGATGGCTCAGTAGGCAAAGATGTTTGGCAACAAGTCCGATGACCTGAATCAGATCGCCAGAACCCACCCAATGAAATGAGCTAACCAATTTCTCCAAGTTGTCTTCCACCTCCTGTGCTCTGGCATGCACCTCCCACCAAACAAACAAATGTTAAGCTTACTGTGAATAAAGGTTACCTAATTCACAGAATCACAATCTTGGAGACCACTGTTGTGTAGCAGTTTCTGTCGAGATTAAAGTCCTGTGTCCAAGTCTATGGTAGTTAGCTTGTGTGTTGACAGGGGTTATTTACAGGAATATGATCGAAGAATCACTGCTAGGAGGATGGCAGCTGCATTAGGAAAAGAACCAACAACATGACAGCATGGGTAATGACTCCCCAAGGTAGCACTCCAAGGTTTTTCCTTGTGATTTGTAGACAGCTGACACCTTAAGGGTCTCCTTTCTCCACCTGTATATAACTGCTTATATAACTTTTAGTTTCAAGAACAAAATTTGTGAGTTTTGTTTACTTCTTGAACCTTGTAAATTTTATTACTTCCTAAGTTTTCATATGATTCCTCTTGGAAGAGAAGGTTTCGATTCTGAGACTATAGTTACACAACGGACATCCTCATTGAATCTTGTAGTTAGAGAAAGGTTTTTTTCTTCTAGATTCCTGTGTGAACTTTTCTGTTGACTTTTGTCATATGCCAGGGCTGAGACATTCAGATTTATAGTTATTAACTTCTAGGTTGTTATCTCTGTTCAGCTTCAGTTAATCTTGGAAAATTCATTCTGAAAACTTTCATTTTTTTTTTTCATTTGTGACTGGGGCTATTAATGGTCTCTCCCTCAGAGGGCTGTTGCGTGGATTTAATGAGATCACAGGCAGTGTGCTTAGCATGCAGGCCAGGCATTAATAAAGGTCTTAATGATGTAGTTATTATCATCATAATACCATTCTGCTTTTTGAAGGCCATGGGCTATGTCTTAATTAGCTTCTGGCATATTTAGTATCTGGCAGAGAAGAGCGTGAAGAGAAGTTTTGTTGGAATGCAAATGAAGTCATTCATTTCACATACGTGAGGGAGAGTTTACCACATTGTCCTCCCAGTCAAATGGTGACTTAGAAAGTCCTAAAATGTAGCTTGGGGAGCCCAGAACTAGAGAGCAAACAATTCTTCTAGAGACCACCAAATTATCCACGTAATAACACATATTCAGCTGCCACTTAACTAATTCAGTAATTGGTTTTATTTTTACTCTTTAATTCCCCTGCCACTGTAAATTTAAGTCTTCAGTGTTGCCGTGTGTTCTAAATGAAGCACAGAGGATGGGCCATCCCTAATGTGATGCTTTAGGGCAAATCAAGAAAGTATTAAAGCTTATACTTATTCCTTATAATTTGGAGTGTTAATACAGGATACGTCAGGCATACAAAAAAACATAGTTTGCTCCTTCCATACCCCATTCCCGTTCCTCTTCCAACAAACAGCCATGTGGTGGTTTAAAAGAAAATGGCCCCCAAAGGGAGTGGCACTGTTGGGAGGTGTGGCCTTGTTGGAGAAGGTGTGGTCTTGTTGCAGTAAGTGTGGCACTGCGGAGGAGGGCTTTGAGGTCTTATATGTGCTCAAGGCACGCCCTGTGAGACAGTCTACTTCCTGTTACCTGCATATATATCAACATATAACAGTTACCTCTCTAGCACCCTGTCTGCTTGCATGCCGCCCTATCTCTGAACTGTACACCTGTCACCACAATCAGATATTTTTTTGTGTAAGAGTTACCGTGGTCGTGGTGTGTCATCACAGCAATAGAAACTCTAACTAAGACAGACCACTAACCCATAATCCCATGCTTATCATTCATATACATTCTCATCCTTTTCCATTCTGTTTTTCTCTCTGATTTCTATATAATATAGTCCTTTAAAATGTATCTATAGAATGACTATCATTTTTGATAGAGTTTTATAAATAACATGAGTAGAGAACACAAGACAAATTACTGACAAAACATAAAACAAGCACTTGGGAGGCAGAGGCAGGTGAATCTTTGTGAGTTCGAGGCCAGCCTGGTCTACAAGAGCTAGTTCCAGGACAGGTTCCAAAGGTACAGAGAAACCCTGTCTCAAAAGATCAAAATAAATAAATAAATAAATAAAACAAGATAAGCAAAAATAACATTAAAGACACTAGGATTACAGACATGCTACCACACACATATATTATTTTTTTAAATGGCTTCTGTTAAGCCGTTTTTATTTATTTTTATTTTATTTTATTTATTTATTTTATTATGTATACAGTGTTCTGTCTGTCTGTCTGTACGCCTGCAGGCCAGAAAGAGGGCACCAGACCTCATTACAGATGGTTGTGAACCACCATGTGGTTGCAGGACCTTTGGAGCATTAGGCAATGCTCTTAACTGCTGAGCCATCTCTCCAGCCCTATTTTCTTTACATGGTTTGGGGATTCCAAACTTAGGTCCTCCTTCTGTGTAAAAAGCACTTAACTCACTGAGCCATCTCCCCAGCCTGAGATCAATAACTTTTAAAAATTTTATCTAGACTCATTAATAGCAATATAGCAGAAAACAAGGTTGTCCTTTGTCTGTCCACAAGGCCACACCTGCCTCCAAGGCGACAAGTCCAAGGAATTGTAGTAGTATCTGCCCAAATTACTTCCTCTTGATTCCTTGGGAGTTCCGCAGTGACTCCATTAACACAAGTATTCCCACGACAGCATTCTCCTTACAATTGAACTTACTGCCCACGGCAGCCGCTCTTTAATGGTGTGTGGCCCACTATAGCTCTGATCTGTTTCTGACATGTAGGGCTGTGAGTTGTCACTTCATTGCCTGCTGTCGCACGAACACTGTTGTGGACTGTGTGGCAGAGTGTTGAGTCTCATGCAGGTTTCTTCTATGAGTCTGATAACAGCTATGGTGGACGCTGTAAACGCTCTCTCCGGATAGCCTCTGAAGACTTCTTAGGATTTCCTCCTTCCCCTCACGGTAGCTGTCATTTTTGGAAAGATTGCGCTTGTGCTCGTGGGCTGTGAAACACAGAACTGGGAATTTGGCTCCATGGATACTCCGCGTTAGATCTTCACCAAAAGCTGTCAGAAAACCCTCACATCAAAATCAAACCAATCCCAGCAGCCTTGCTTCAGAACAGGACAACTCAGGAGGTATAATTTACACTATTGAAACACTAGTCAAAAGAAGATATAAATTCACAAATTCTAATGTCTGAATGTATTTCTTAATCTGCTACATTGTGTAGCTACCAAGGTTTCTTCCCTTCTCTCCTGGCGATTCGCAGGGCCGTGTGACCTCCGGCTCCCTGGAGACTCTGCACTAGCTCTGGCTTGAGGGGATAACTTAGCAAGAACCTGGTTCTCTTTGTTATGGTGATTCCACTTGTATTCAAAGTTTTAGCAGTGGGCCCATAGCCTGGCTCCCCAGCTGATCCTGCTCCAGGTGCCGAGAAAGACTTTAATCTTCTCCTGGATGGGAGGAGGCCTTGCATTTTCGATCCTTCTAGCCCACTGGTATAAATATCCGACTTGAGTTTAATAAAGTTGCCATTTACTCTGGTAAATGAGCAAAGGTCTCTTTTGTGTGTGTCTCTTTTTCAACCCTCAGGACAATCATCCATTCTCGTGGGCCCGAGTTCGGGAAAGCACGCAGCCTGAACCGGGTGTGGGTATCCATTGGAAAGTGCCGACTCTTACAACATTGTATACCTTATGACTGAAATGTGAACTTAAGACAGATCACAAGAAAATAGTTAGTATTTCTGTTTATCAATTTTAATTATGCAGTTCTTTTTCATTTGTACAAAGTAATAGGTTTCTTTATGGTATTTTTTATATAAACTTAGTTTTAGTTGATTCTCTCCCCCCTTTAAATCTAGATCATAACACACAGACACAAATAAAAGTGTTCATGTGACCAAAGACAGACAAAAGATAAGTGTTGAGGTGGCAATTTACATGAGCTCCAGTTTCAACCACTTTTTAGGTAAGCTGACTTATTTTAGGAAATGGCTTATTAATTTATTAGGTCAGTCTACAAAGTAATTTCACCATGGGTTTTGTACACAGTGAAATAATGGGTTCCGCTATGGCGTATACATATCTGTATGTCGCTTTGTTCTTATTTGTCACTGTCTCATTGTCTTACCCCATCCATCCAGTTTCTACCTTTTCAAAAAGGTATCATTCTTCGTCAAATTCATATATGTATATATTTCTGTTGTCCCCTCCCCCATTATGATTTCTCATCCCCTGCTGACTCCCACCAAACCCCTGCTCCCCAACTCCTGCTTTCACATCATCTTGTTCTTTTTTGTTGTTGTTGTTTGCTGAGCACTGAGTCTACCAAGGGTTACACACATAATCACCAGGGAGGGGTTCTTCACTGTCAATTTGCCTCTTTGTTAGTGAGCCTTAGCCTTTAAAGGTTGAGTCCTCTCTCCAGCCCATCTCCAGAGCACAAACAACTTAATAATTGCTTTACCACTGGGGGGCAGGGAGAAGGCCTCCCATCATCCCAACAACCATTAATTGCCAATAGTTCCATAGAGAGGATGGAACCTTATGAGCCTCTCCTTGCTCCATGATCGAAGATTGCTGGGTGCCTTGTGCACATAACCGCTGGATGCTTTGTGCACATAACCGCTGGATGCTTTGTGCACATAACCGCTGGATGCTTTGTGCACATAACCACACTTCAGCTTTCCTATGCTTGTCACATATGCGTTTTCTTCAAGAATATGCCTTTTTATACCTTTGATCCAGTTTTTCATCTGTGTTGCACTCCTACTGGTTGAGTTTCAGGCCTAGTTTTAAAACTGTAGTTCTAGCAATTCTTTTGTTTCCTAGTACAATTCTATAAATATAATTTGTTGATGGTCGTTATTTCATAATCAGTTTAATAACTCTGCATTGCCCGGCATGCTTTAGGCAGATTCCTCCTGTCTCTGGCCATTCCTTCCTCAGTGCTAGAGGAAGTTGGTGGCTTTCATTTTCACTTCTCTTGTAGATGTGATAGTGAGAGAGGAAGAAAGGAGAAGAAACTTGCATATTTATAAACTTTAAGACACCTTTCACTTAAGACATTCTAATCTTCTGAGTAGACAAAATGCTAAATGCATTTGTGTAATTGTAGTGAAAAAAAAATAAAAGAAGTTATGAAACGCATGCTGCTGCCGCATTAAACACCTTAAATCAAGACAACAGCACCACAGAACTGAATTATTTAGAAGTTGTGTGCATAATGGGAACTGTTTTGGAAAGCAAAATGGTGGTTGACCTGGAATAGCTCAGAAGAATCCACTGTAGTTCAGATTTGTATGCTAAGCAAGCAGGAAGCTGTAACAGATCTGAGAGAGGAACAAAAGACTGATGTTCAAATCTCAGAGGAGAGGCTACATTTCATAAAACTGACTCCTCATTTGGCTATGCTTGTTTTCACGTGGAAAGTCCCAGTTTCAGCTAAACAGGGAGTTGTGGGGAAACAGGGATTCTATTTTATGTCTTTAGAAAATACACACACAGTTTTCTTTTTTGTTGTTGTTGGGTTTTTTTTGTTTTTGTTTTTGTTTTTGTCTTTTGGCAAATTCAGAATTGTTTTCACTGGTATCAGAAGACTGCCGGGAGAGGCAAAAGGCCTTCTTCTCCAGGCTCTGTCTGGTGGGGTTGAAGAGGGCCAGGCATCTGTGGGTGTAGAGAGTTACCACGAAGGGCGATGTGCAGCTTCCCTTCCTGCTCTTTTTGGTAGCTCACCAAAAAAGGAAACTGGGGTTCTCAGGCTGAGTAAGCAATACTACAGGCAAGACTTAGGGTTAGAGCAAGGTCTTGTACCACTGTACACAGAATTTTGAACATCCAGAAAGCTTTAACTCTGGTTCAAGCACATCCTAGGAACCTAAAAATCCATGTCCAAATGAGAGAGAGATGTCCGGACCCATGTCCAAGTGGTAGGATGAAGTAGTAGGACATTGGCAGTAGGACAGTTGCTTGAGCAACTGTGAGAGCGGCCCTCAGTCACATTTAGTTTGATTTTTGAATAAGTTTTTTTTTTGGACACGGATGTAGCTCAGTGGAAGAGATGGTGCTTGGCATGCATGAAGTTCTGAGTTCTAGCTCCTGCTCTGAAGATATTACAGGAGAAATAGACAGGAAAATGAGATATATGAGAGGAGATGGTAGCCAGAGGACACAACTTTGGGCGGCCAGGGAAACAAAACCTTCTGGAGACTAGGACTGCTAGTTGGATATCTCAGTTGAGGCCTGATGAATGACTGAACCAGCCAATTGATGCGCCCTGGAGCATGAGGATGTAAAGAAATGTAAAGGGAAGAAATATGTCTGGTTTTGGCTTATATCCAAAAACTATTAAATTTACTATGTTATTCTTTTCTCATAGCTTCCTGTATAAGTAGAAAGGTGAGTAGCTGTAGAACAGAGGTGCTATAGGGCGCTGTGGTTCCCACTTGTAAGCTCAGCACTTACGAAGCCCAGACAAATGGGTTGTGTTGAGTTTGAGGTTGGCCTGGACTGCATAGGAAGTATCAGGAGAAGCAGGACCTCCTACTGAGATCCTCTCTCAAAGCAACAACAACAGAGTGATAAATGTTGGAGAAAAAGCACAGTTCAGTTTACATACTAAAACATACAATAAGGTCATATGTGGCTATCATCACCAATGTTCAGTATTTTTTTTCTTATGTCTCATTTGACTTAACTTTGTGAATGGAAGTTACTAGAAAGAACACTGAACCTTCTGTTCAACTAAGAATTTCAATGATTGTGGGGAAACTGGAATAGTACAAGCCCAGAACCTAAATGTAATTTATCTTCAGCTATCAGTAGGCCCTTTAATAGCCATTTCTTGCCCATCTCTGTGCCTGACTCATCTTTGGGACCATTAGGTAAATCCTTGAAAATATACAAATACAACATTAGCTTCTACCAACCAAAGAACTAAGACTGTAGTTGAACAGTATCAAGGGCCTATAGCAGAGATTCCTCTGGTTTCTGGAACCTGCCCACCTAATGTTTCCAACAACATATCTGAAAAGTGCTTTAGTCTGTGATTTTCTTGCTTTTCTTCCTATAAAACTTGTTGGGACTGCTATTATATTGGAATATTGTGCTTGGGAACCCCTGAATCTGTTTCCAGGCCATGGTCACTCACATTTGGCCCCAGAATAAATTAACTCTCACTTTCTTTGAGGAAAACGTTGTGTTTTGCGTCGACAATTTCTAACAAGCAGTTTGGACAAGTTTCTTCCTTCTTCCAAATACTATTTTCCCACGTTGTTTCCTCTGATAAGAAACAGTAGCTGGCTAAGACCAGCTGTTTCTTGATCGGATGTATCTCAGAACTACACATGTGAGCAGGGCCTGTCTTAGAGTTAGGGTTTCCATTGCTGTGAAAAGACACCGTGACCATAGCAACCCTTACAAAGGAAAACATTTAACTGGGGTTGGCTTGCAGTTCAGTTTAGTCCTATATCATCATGATGGGAAGCATGGTGGCATGTAGGCAGACATGGTGCTGGAGAAGGAGCTGAGAGTTCTTTCTACACCTTGATCTACAGGCAACAGGACGTGAACTGACGTGAGCTCTCTGACCTCAAATCCCACCCACTCACAGTGACACATTTCCTCCAACAAAGCCACACCGCCAACAAGGACACACCTCCTAATAGTGTCACCCACTATGGACCAAGTGTTGAACACATGAGTCTATGAGGGCCATTCTTATTCAAACCACCACAGCGCCTTGTTCAATAGGACCCTTTGGTGCTGGGTAGGGGTCAGGTACCTACTACAGTCTGATGCTCTCCGTATGATCTCAGTGTAGTGACCTTAGCATCTTATTCAGCATCTGTGGTCTTCAAATTATTGAGCAAATCACTAGCTGCAAGAGATATTGTCACTACTCTAGAAATAAAGTATTTGCTAAGCAAATGAGAGCAACATGTTCTCGGAGTCTCCCCTTGGCAGTTCACTAGTAACGCTGGCACACGAAAGACCTTGACAGACACGAAAGTGAATACATTTTGTCTAATAACAAGGCTATTTTTGTTTACCAAGTATTTAATAGAATCATTTGTGACCGGGAAATGCTTTTCTTAGTTTTTCCAAAAAAGTTATTTTCCATAAATGGTAGCATGCAAAGCATTGATCTAGAAAATTGATATATACATATATGTACTGTTGAAATGTCCTTTTACATAGATTTATATAGATTCTATTAAATGTAATAGTTAGGCAAAAGGCATCTTCACCCCATAACTGGTCCCAAACAACCTCTCCAATGCAGCTGTCCCCCTGTCTCAGTCTTGCGTGGTGTCTCTTAAATTTCCAGCTCTAGGATGAGTGTGAGTGTTGTGGATGTCTGTGCACTGTGTGAAGGTGTGTTCCTGGATTGGTGTAGTAAAAAGCAGATCAGCTGGTAGCGGGGCAGGATGTATATGCAGGATTTCCAGAGAGAGAAAAGAGGAGGAGGAGGAATCTCTGCAGGAGGACGATGCCAGGAAGCATGGCGATGAAACAGGAAGTGCAAAATGGAAGAGAGCTAACGTCACATAATAGAATGTAAATTAATAAAAATGGTTAATTTAAGCTATAATAGCTTGTTAGGAACAAGCTTAAAGATATAGGCAATTTCACAATAAGAAATAGGAAGTTTCTGAGTCATTATTTGGGAGCTAGTGGGAGAGAGAAAGACTCATTACATGTGTCCATATTTCTAGCTGGCTCTAAACGTTTCTATGTGGATGTCATAGGCTTAATTTCAGAGCAGAAAACACAATTATCTTGTGGATTCTTACCATGTGTTTCTTTTTCTCTAGACTTTCCCATGGAGTTGATGGTTGCTACAGTCCTGATATTTCATCAGACCTTCAAACTCTGTTCAAAAATAGTTTTTCCTTCTCTTCTTTTAACATATGACCTTACTTTACAGCTCAGGCTGGCCTGAACTCACTGTGTAGCCCACACTGGGCTCAAAGTCTTGACATCCTCTTGCCTCAGCCTTCTGAGTTCAGGGATTACAAACGTAGGCCACCATGCCTGGCTCTGGGTCTACTGTTAACGGCCATAATTTGTCCCAGCTTCAGTGAAGATCATCTCTATGGTCTTGACTGGAATTTCTCCTTCATGGAGTCTCTCTTACCACATCTTACTTTTCTTTTCTGCCAGGTTATTTAATAATCTATTGTTTCCTTGTGATTTATTGGACTAAGAAAGAAAAATTATTTTCTAGGGTCTACTAGTAACATGTCTCACTCACTGAGCAAATTTCTCCTTTACCTTTTTCCACCCTGAGCTCTCTGTTTATAGTTGACATGCTTTGTGATATTAAGTGTTCTTTAATTTCCCTCCCAGGCCTTCTGGGTCTCTGGGGAAGACTATTTAATCAGTTATTCTCAGGATTTAGTGAATGTTAGACTCTTCAGGAGCTAGATTCACCCTTAAAGTCTGATTCAGGATGGGTGAAGAATTGGAAATTCTGACAGTTCAGATATTGCTGCTGGTTAAGGAGCAGGGCCTTCTCCCAGCCCTGGATTTCCTAGCTTTGTGGTTGCTGCAACATTGCTCACACCACACTTTCTGGGATGAAGATACCCACTTCTGGGTGTGTACTGATGTCTCATGGCTAAATTATTCTCTGACACGTAGCTTTTTTTCCTTAAGTGTATGTGTGTGTAGTGTGGGTGAACGCATGTACGCGTGTTTGAATGTCTAAAGCTGATGACAGGTGTCTTCTCTGATGGTTTTCTACCTTATTCAT